CTCAGTTTCCCCATCCCAGCCCCAGTGTCCCCATCCTGCTCCTGGTAGCTCCATCCCATCCCTTGGTGTCCCCATCTCTGCCCCCATTGTCCCCATCCCTTGGTGTCCACATCCCTGCCCTTGGTGTCCCCATCCCACTCCCAGTGTCCCCATCCGTGCCTCAGTGTCCCCATCCCTTGGTGTCCCCATCCCAGCTCCCAGTGTCCCCATCCCTGTCCCAGTGTCTCCATCCCAGAGATGGGAGGTGGACATTGATGTGCGGAATGAGGATCCAGGGGACACAAGGGGCAGGGACCAAGGGGACATGAGGACAAGGGACTCAAGGGACAGGGGCACCAGAGACCCAGGGGACGCAAGGACCAAGGGGACCAGGGGACGTGGGGACCAGGGGACACCAGGAGTTGACACCCAGGGGGACAGGGCCACCAAGGACTGAGGGGTGTAGGGACCAGACACCCAGGGGGACATGGGGAGTGGGAACCAAGGAGACATAGGGACAAAGGACCAAGGGGACAAAGGGACCCAGGGGAGATGGGGACCAAGAACCAAAGGGACACAGGTGGCAGAGTCCCAGGGGACATGGGGAATGAGGACTAAGGGGTCACAGGGACCCAGGAAACATGGAGAGTTGAGACCCAAGGGACACAAGAGACAGGGAATAAGAAGACATGGGGACAAGGGACCCAAGGGACCCAAGGGACCCAAGGGACAGGGGCACCAGGGACTCAAGGGACACAAGGACCCAGCGGGACATGGGTGGCAGAGACACAGGGGACACAAGGACCAAGGGGACACAGGGACCAGACACCCAGGGGGACATGGGGACAAGGGCCCCAGGGAACACCAGGAGCAGGGACCAAGGAGACGTGGGGATAAGGGACCAATGGGATGAAGTGACCCAGGGGAGACAAAGACCAAGGACCAAAGGGATATGGGTGACAGGGACCCAGGGGACACAAGAGACAGGGAGTAAGGGGATATGGGGATAAGCGACCCAAGGGATAGGGGCACCAGGGACTCGGGGGACACAAGGACCAAGGGGGCACAAGGCATTGAGACCCAGGGGACACCAATAGTTGACACCAAGGAGACATGAGGAGCAGAGTCCCAGGGGACATGGGGACCAAGGGCACATGGGGACAAGGGACCAATGGGACAAAGGGACCCAGGGCAGATGGCGACCAAGAACCAAAGGGACACAGGTGACAGAGACCCAGAGGACATGAGGAGTTGACACCAAGGGGACACAGGGACCCAGGGGACATGGGGAGCAGGGACCCAGGGGACATGAGGCACAGGAGACCCAAGGGACAGGGGCACCAGGGACTCAGGGAACACAAGGACACATGGGTGGCAGGGACTCAGGGACCACAAGGATTAAGGGGACGAAGGGACATGGGGACCAGGGATGCAGGGGACACCAGGAGTTGACATCAAGGGGACAAGGGAACAAGGGGACATGGGGACAAGGGACCAATGGGACAAAGAGACCCAGGGAAGATGGGGACCAAGGACCAAAGAAACATGGGTGGTAGGGACCCAGGGGACATGGGGAATGAGGACCAAGGGACACAAGGGACAGGGAATAAGAGGACATGGGGACAAGGGACACAACGGACAGGGGCACCAGGGGCCCAGGGGATACAGTAGTTGAGACCAAGGGGACATGGGGACCAGGGACCTAGGGGACATGGGGAGTTGACACCAAGGGGACATGGGGAGCAGAGTCCCAGGAGACAGAGCCACCAGGGACTGAGGGGACATGGGGACCAGGGACCCAGGAGGACATGGAGAGTGGGGACCAAGGGGACATGAGGACCAAGGACCCAGGTGTCAGGGCCAACAGGGACCCAGGGGACACCAGGAGTTGACACCAAGGGAACATGGGGAGCAAGGACGTGGGGACAAGGCACCCAGGGGTCTTCTGGGAGAGGGTACCAAGGGGACATGGGGACCAGAGACCCAGGGAACACCCTAGGAACAGGGGGGCTGTTGGGAGGGAGACCCAGGGAACACGAGGACAAGGGACCATGGGGACCCCCACAGGACACAGGTGTCACCTGCCACCTGCAGCTGTGGATGTGGTGGGGACGTGGCAGCGGGGATATGGTGGGGACATGGCAGGGGTGGTTGGGGGTACGGTGGAGATGGCTGGGGACATGGTGGGGATGTTTGGGGACACAGCAGGGACATGAGGTGGTGGCAGAGCCAGGGTGGTGACCTATTAGGGACAGTTGGTGACATGGGGTGGCAGTGAGGACCTGCTGGGGACATCTTGTGACTGGGGCAGTGGTGACACCTGGACACCATCTGTGTCCCCATGCCCTCTCCACCACGTCCCCATGTCCACCTGCCGTGTGCCCATCATGTCCTCATGTCCCCACAACCACCCCACCATGTCTGTGTCTGGGGACGTGTCTGTCACGTCCCCACCACTGTCCCCAGGTCCCCACCATGTCCCCAGATCTTCAGGACCATCTCCAGTGTGGGTCCTGCCATAGGTTCAGATCTTCAGGAACTTCTCCAACACGGGTCCTTCCATTGGCTGCTGTTCCTCATGAACATCTCCAATGTGGGTCTTGCCATGGGTTGAGACCTTGAGGGACTCCTCCAAGGTGGGACCTGCCATAGGTTCAGATCCTCAGGAATTTCTCCAGTGTTGGACCTTCCATTGGCTGCTGTTCCTCATGAACATCTCCAATGTGGGTCTTGCCATGGGTTGAGACCTTGAGGGACTCCTCCAACGTGGGAACTGCCATAGGTTCAGATCCTCAGGAATTTCTCCAGTGTTGGACCTTCCATTGGCTGCTGTTCCTCATGAACATCTCCAACGTGGGTCCTTCCATGTGCTGCAGATCTCCATGCACTTCTCCATCATGGGTCCTTCCATGGGTTCAGATCCAACATGGGTCCTTCCATTGTTTCTGATCTTTAGGACCATCTCCAATGTGGGTTCTTCCATGGTTTCAGATCTTCAGGAACTTCTCCAATGTGGGTCCTGCCATGGGTTCAGATCTCCATGAGCTTCTCCAATGTGGGTCCTTCCATGGGTTCAGATCTTCAGGAACTTCTCCAACATGGGACCTTCCATGAGTTCAGATCCAACATGGGTCCTTCCATTGGTTCTGATCTTCAGGACCATCTCCAGTGTGGGTCCTTCCATGGTTTCAGATCTTCAGGAACTTCTCCAACATGGGACCTTCCATGAGTTCAGATCCAACATGGGTCCTTCCATTGGTTCTGATCTTCAGGACCATCTCCAGTGTGGGTCCTTCCATGGTTTCAGATCTTCAGGAACTTCTCCAACATGGGACCTTCCATGAGTTCAGATCCAACATGGGTCCTTCCATTGGTTCTGATCTTCAGGACCATCTCCAGTGTGGGTCCTTCCATGGTTTCAGATCTTCAGGAACTTCTCCAACATGGGACCTTCCATGAGTTCAGATCCAACATGGGTCCTTCCATTGGTTCTGATCTTCAGGACCATCTCCAGTGTGGGTCCTTCCATGGTTTCAGATCTTCAGGAACTTCTCCAACATGGGACCTTCCATGAGTTCAGATCCAACATGGGTCCTTCCATTGGTTCTGATCTTCAGGACCATCTCCAGTGTGGGTCCTTCCATGGTTTCAGATCTTCAGGAACTTCTCCAATGTGGTTTGGGCCGTGTGTGGCTCCCGGTTCCCCTACCCCTCCCCCACATTGCCTCAGGCACTTTCACTTTCCCTTCCCAAAATTCATACATGGGATGCGCCCGGCCGCCGATGACATCAGATGCAGCTCCAGCTGCCATTGGCTGACGGACAGTGGAGGAGCCAAGCGCGGGGCGAGGCTTGGGGGAGACAGTGCGAGGCCGGAGTGGAGCGGAGCGATGGGGCCAGTCTGGGCTCTGGGCCTGGGGCTGCTGCTGGGGGTCCTGGGCAGGGCAGCAAATGGTGAGCACAGGTGGGGACCTGGGAACCCCCCAGACTCCAGGACCCCTCTGAATCCCCTTTCCTGGGCACCAGGACCCTCTTTGGACCTCCCAACCACCCCAGACCCCCTCTCCGGGTACCAGCACTGCCTCTCAAACCCCTGTCCCACTCTGGACCCACTTCCAAAGACCTCTCTGGGCACTGGACTCCACTTTTCAGGGGGCACCTGGACTCCCCCACGCTGTGTCCCATTCCTGGTCCCCGGGACCCTGCTCTTGGCCAGCTTTTCTTGACACCAGGATCCCCCCAGGACCTCTCTGGATGCACCTTCCCGGGCATCTTGGGTCCTCCATCCCCTAGATCCCCCTTTTGTCAACACTGGGAACCCCCTTGAACCCCTTCCTGGGCATCCCAGGGATCCCAGCCCCTTTTCTTAACTCTGCCCCACCCCCAGGTTCCCTGGAAATCAGGGGCCCTCTCCCAGATGCAACTCACTCCCCAACATGCCCCCACCAATCACAATCCCCTAAAGCTGCCCCCCACACCTCCCTAATCACCCAATCAACCTCACTGCCCACCACTGGATCTGCATCCCTTGGGCAACCCCACCTCTGGCTCCACCAAGTCCTGCTGTCCCTAACTTCTCACCCACTCTGTCCCCACAGGGCTCCATTCTCTGCGCTACTTCCACATTGCGGTGTCGGAGCCCAGCCCTGGGGTGCCTCAGTTCATGTCCATGGGCTACATGGATAGCAACCTCATCTTGAACTATGACAGTGACACAGGGAGGATGGAGCCACAGGAGGACTGGGTGAGGGGAGCTATGGGCCCCCAGTACTGGGAGGACCAGACCCAGATTGCGATGGCCCATCAGCAGATTGACCGTGTGCACCTGGACACAACACGGAGCCGCTACAACCAGAGCGGAGGTGAGCGTGGGCTGGGCTGGAGCTCTGTGGGGCTGGGACGGGAATCCATGGGGCAAGACAGGGCTGCAGCAGCCCCTCAGACCCATCTCCGTGTTACAGGGACTCACACGTGGCAGTGCATGTACGGCTGTGACCTCCTGGAGGACGGTAGCACCAGAGGGTACACACAGGATGCCTATGATGGGAAAGACTTCATCGCCTTTGACAAGGACACGATGATGTTCACTGCGGTGGACATGGTGGCGCAAATCACCAAGAGGAAATGGGAGAATGAGTACGAGCTTGAGAGGTGGAAGCACTACCTGGACCACACCTGCATTGAGTGGCTGAGGAAATACG